ACATACATGCATACATACGTACATACATACATACATACATACATACATACATACATACATACATACATACATACATACATACATACATACATACATACATACATACATACATACATACATACATACATACATACATACATACATACATACATACATACATACATACATACTTACATACATACATACATACATACATACATACATACATACATACATACATACATACTTACATTTCGAAACCTTTCTTGTCAAAATAAGAACAGATATGGCTAGTAGTTTTCAATTAAATATATATTCCTTCGTTGAAAAAAATATTATTATCAATATTATTATTATTATTAATGTGATTATTTTCAGCAGTAGTCAGTATTATAAAACCTTCGTACGAACAAACATCTGAATTGAAGTTTTCTACCAGTCTATCGAAAGAATAATAACACTAGTTAGTTATAATTATTATTATTATTACCATAATAATCAATAATTAATAATTAGGGGAGTAATAAAATGGAGTTGTACACTATGGCAATGAAGAAAGAGGTAGAGTTTGTCATATTCGCCTATGGCAATCTCATGTGTGATACGAGGTGTTGTGTCCTACCAGCCAAATCAGTTAAGGATTTTAAGGTGAGTTTTGATCACCAAGATGATGACGTTGTGGTTGAAGATGTTGTGGTTGATGATGATGTTGGTGAAGATGTTGCGGTTGATGATGATGATAATGATGGTGGAGATGTTGTGGTTGATGATGATGATGCTGATGATGGTGTGGTGGTGAAGATGATGATGATGATGATGTTGGTGAAGATGTTGCGGTTGATGATGATGATGATGTTGGTGATGATGATGATATTGGTGACGATGTTGTGGTTGATGGTAATGATGCTGATGATGGTGATGATGGTGAAGATGATGATGGTGGTTTTTAATGGCTAGGATCATTACGATGACGCTGTTGATGACGACAAAGACACCAACACTAACAAAACCATCACACTAACCTCATCCCATTCCGATTCCTATATGACAACAGCCGGATAGGGCACTTTTCACTCCCGGTCTGGTGTACCATATAAACCCCCACCAATGTCACTACAGCTTAATTCCCGATGTCTCCACTTTTACCATCTTGCCATGGAAAAAAAATTTTGCATGGGTCCAATGGTGGGCTATGACTCTTTTTTTTCTTCTTCTTCTTATTATTATCACTATTATTATTATTATTATTATTATTATTATTATTAGTAGTAGTAGTAGTAGTAGTAGTAGTAGTAGTAATAATAGTAGTAATAGTAGTAGTAGTAGTAGTAGTAGTAGTAGTAGTAGTAGTAGTAATAGTAGTAGTAGTAGTAGTAGTAATAGTAGTAGTAGTAGAAGCAACAGCAGCGGTTGTTGTTTCATCATCATCATCATTATTATTGTTATCATCATCATCATTATTGTTATTATCATTATCATCATCATTATTATTACTATTAATATTAATATTGATATTATTATTATTAGTAGTAGTAGTAATATTATAATTATTATTATAAGTATAATTATTTTATTATGACTACCCTAGCGATATATTGCACGACGGAAAGCCATTTTACCAGTC